TTCCAACTCAGCTGGGGCTACCTGCAATTTGTTCCGGACATGGAGAGACCAAACAACACATTACACAAATGGACTGATCAAATACTCATGCAATCATCTTTGTTACGAGTTTAACTCTCAAAGGATCTCTCTTGCAATCACCTGATAGGCCTTGTACTTGATCAATTCCTTTAACCTGTCAACGATGTAGAGGAACCCCTCGTCATCAAAGAAACAAAGATCACCCGTCTTCAACCACCCGGCTGAGTCCAAGGTCTCAGCAGTTGCCTTGTCATCTCCTACATAACCTGTAAGTCAATGGTTTTACAAAGATCAATTAGATTAGGTATTGGTGTCACGACTCATGGCTAGAACTTGTTCCTATATTAAATGATATATAAGAAAAGGCACCGAAAACTTATAAATTATCTTAAGACAAACTATTTCTGCAATATAGTACACTTGTGACATGACAAAGTCTCATTACCTTTCATGACTGTTGGACCTCGCAGCCACAGCTCGCCCCTCTGGCCAGGAGGTAAGGCCTCTCCGGTTTCGGGGTCAACAATCTGGGCTTCCATATTTTCAGCTAAGCGGCCCACAGAAGCATACCGTTTTGACTCTTCAGAGTCTATCATCCTCGTACCCGCTGCCCCAGTTTCGGTCAAACCGTATCCCTGAACAAACCATAATATTAATCAAGCATTTGACAATTAGCAAGACTAGAGTTTGGCATATCACACATGTAATACCATATGCACAACAGAATTATGCAAGTAACGTAACCAGTCATCATCACTATTCTATTCCTGTTGGGATATGGCACAGAACAGAAGCAACCCACATTTTTGTATTAATTGGTCATTGACTCTTCGCTTCAAAACTGAAAAGTCATTCAAATGAATCACAAAATATTGAAAAGTCTGTTCGCATGTTTCCAACCCACAAAAGCAACCAACCCACATTGGCCTTCATACATTCACAACTGAAAAGTCTCCTAAAGTAATCAAAACTGTACGATTAGATATGTCAACCTTAATTAATCACAAATGCCTTAAATCAACCACAGTACATACAGGTATTATTATACGGGAAAAATATGTATTTTTAAACACACATAGGGTACTTGCAATTTATATATATATATATAAAGCAAAAGGCAGAGAATGGTGAAACATTCAAAATACCAGAAAATGCCCATGGTTAATGCAAACATTAAGAATTGAAATTATTAATTAAATGAGAATAATATGGTAAATTCACACTTTTTCATATTTAAAAAATTAAAATTAAAAGAAAAATAAGATAATGGATCCTATTTTTATGAAACACAACTATCCATTATCTTTTTTAATTCTAAAATAAATAAATAAATATATTTTTAAAAGCCTCTCGCAGGCGCGGAAGCGCATTCAGAAAGGCTAGTTTTAATTATACGTGTATTTTATGTGTATTATTAATTATAAACGTATTATTCACTTACCAGTAATATAAGTTGTAAAAATAAATAAATTGTGGGACCAAAATATCAAAAGCCCAATGTTTTAACCGAATTAATTAGTAACTAACAATAAAATCAACCGCCTAAAATTAAACTGCCGTATGTAATTCCGACAACGGATAATTTAATTTTCTGACCTGCACAATTTCCACATTGGGAAATCTCTCAGTGAATCTCTCAGCAACCTCCTTCCCCAGAGGCGCGCCGCCACATCCGAGAAGCCGAAGCGAGCTGAGATCGTATTTCTGAGCCAGCTCGGACTTCGCCAGAGCCACGATCAACGGCGGAGACACCGGCATGTAGCTGACCTTGTACCTCTCCACGGCCCTCAGCATCGCTTCCAAATCGAACCTCTCCATCAAAACCAAGGTCTCACCCATCGCCACCGCCCGAACCAGCATGAAGAACCCGAAGACGTGGAACAGAGGCAGCGTGAACAACGAGACGACTTGCTCTTCGAGTAGGGTAGGGTCGGGTTCGCGCCGCAGCACGTGGAGCCCGGCTAGTAGGCCGATGAAGTTGCGGTGAGTCAAGAGAACACCTTTGACTCGTCCGGTGGTGCCCGACGAGAAGAGAATCACCGCCAAGTCGGTTTGGCTGACCTTGACTCCGAAGTCGGGTCGGGTGTCGGATGATCCGACGCGATTGAGCATGGACAGGAACTCGGGTGAGTCCAGGAGGATTATGGTGCGGAGCTCATCCTTAGGGAGCTTGTGAGCGGTTGCTGATGTGGCGAAAGCGATGGCGGGTCGGGTGAGTCGGACCTGGTAGGCGATCTCGGACTCGGACCCGATTGGATTAGCGGGCGAAACGACGACGCCTAAGGCGAGGAGGGAGAAATAGAGCACGGGGATGTGGAAGGAAGTAGGCGAGAGAATGAACGCCACGTGGCCTTTGGAGAGAGCGGGGGCAAAGGACTGGAGGGAGAGAGTGAGGGAGTGGACTTGGCCGATGAAGTTCTCGTACGAGACATGGCGGCCGGAGGCGGCGTCGATGAGGACGGTTGTGGTGGGCGCTGCCGCAGAGGATTGGAGGAGGGAGAGAGCGAAATGGGTGATGGAGAGGGGTTGGGAGAGAGGCGGAAGTGGGACCGGAGGTCGGAGAGTGTGGAAGGTCTTGGTTTGTGGACAGTAGCCGCTCTTGGGATCGATGCAACGGCTGGGATTTGTTTCCTCCGCCATGGTTGATTAGAATTGGAGCTAAGCTAGCTCTTCAGAAGCTTTATATATATATATATATATATATATATAATATAATATAATATATAACTGCGACTCTGTGAGTGTGGCCAAGACATGTGTGGCCAAGACCTGCTCATTGTCATTGATTATAGGACGCAGACAAACAAGAACTAAAAGAGGAGAGAGTAATTTATTATTACTATACACGTGTTTGACTTGGCTTTTTCTAGCTTGGGGAAGAAAGGAAAGGATATATATCATCGTGGATAGATGTAGAATGGAGGAAACGTGGGTTTAATGCGTATTGTAAGTGAGGGATATTTTGCCTTTCTTTGCATCTGCCAAACTGGGCACCAAGCATGTGGTATTGGGAGGTTTTTACTTTAATAACCATGCTGTATATAGTGGTAAGTTGTTTGTGCAAATAATCTCGCAGGAGAATATTCGTTTCTAGATCCTTCAACTTTTGATCTTCCTTCTCTCTCTTCCTCGTTTTCTGTAAAAAAGACTGGAGTAAATAGACCACACCCGAGGGGTATTGACCAAAGACCCTCCGATGCCTAAGTTAGTTCGAGTGTTTGTAGGAAAACAATAGCTAAGCAAAGGGTACGGAGTTGTATGTATGGTGTGAATAGGGCGGCCGGAGCCGTGTGGGGAAAATATGGAGAGTGGAGAGGGAGAGAGAGCTTCGGATATTTTTCTCGGGTTTTGGAGTAGGTTTTGATGTACCTTGAATGATGAATGAGGTCATCTATTTATAGGAGCCTCGGGGCTAGGGTTTCGTAGAGAATATGATGAGTTTATTCTCTAAGAAATTTGGACAACATCATACCTTGGGCATTACTTCAGCTGCGACTGCTGAAACATAACTTGATATAGCCTGGATGCCTCTCGGCTAAATAGAATATTTTAAAAGTATAGCGGTGCAGTTAGACTGTATAAAATTGGGATATACAAAATTATGATCTCACTGCTGTGTTAGCTATAATAAATAATGGAAACAAGTTGTTCCCAATAATCAATGAGTGTGAGACAACCACAAGAATAGATACATAAACTTTCCTACCAAAGTAGTTAACACATCCACTAGGATGAAAAATTTGTGCAGAATCTTGAACAAGGTTTGATAATTGATACAGAATGAGTCAAAGCGAGAAACTGACAGTAACTTGTAGTAAAAGTATTTGTTAATTTAAGTTTCAGGTTCTGCTTTCAACTAAAATTGATATTTACATCAACTCAACAGTAGAATTACTCGAGTCAGGTAGAACATAAAGCTCACAATCATAAAATGAAAAGGAAAGAAATTAAATAAGGGAGCTATGGGTATTGCCAAACTCACATTGATCTGTTGTATATATTCATCACGGTACTGAAGCTTATGACCTTGATACCTATCCACGAACAAGAACCTCCGTATGTCAAACAAGACAAATGCCAGCCACAGGAGAATACAGCATAGCCGGCCGGCTATACTCTATAAATAGAATTTGTTAACAGTATAGCCGCGCGGCAATACCCTTTAAATAGAATATTTAAAATTCTTAGCCGTGCTGCGATACTATTTACCAACACAGCATTGATCTGTGCGGCGATAATAGAATTTGCCAAACTCACATTGATCTGTGCGGCTATACTTTATGAATATAATATTTTAAATGTATAGCCGCGCGGCTATACGATTTAAATAGAATATTTTAAAAGTATAGTCAAACGGCTATACGATTTAAATAGAATATTTTATAAGTATAGCCGCGCGGCGATACTCTTTGATTAGAATATTTTAAAAGTATAGCCGCCCGGCTATACGCTTTGATTAGAATATTTTAAAAGTATAGCTGCGCGGCGATACTCTTTGATTAGAATATTTTAAAAGTATAGCCGCCCGGCTATACGCTTTGAATAGAAAGCAGGCATGCCTCACACATCTTTCTTATATCAGACGGCTCCTTGTAGTTGTGGCAATAAGCCTAGTGACAGATTCTTTTAACTTCGTCATTTCCAGAAGGACAATGATATGATGAGAAAGTTCTGAATAAAACAGCATTGCCAGAGCAAAACATTCATATGGCTCACACTTAAGCACCAACGACAAGGAAACAGAACACTATTGATACAAATTCTTCCTCTTATCAAATAAGGCAATAGGAAAAGTTTTGAAGACCAAACATGATGCTGCGGGCAAAAAGACAGGTCTCACAGTTGGATCACATATCTGGAATTGATATTTACTTGCATGTTTAGCACATCTGAATAAAATAAAATGAAATAAGAGGCATAACAACAAGATATTGATCATACATACCTAAAGATATACCCAAATCGATCAATGCCAACTGTTAAATCACGGTAGGCTTGCTATTTAATGTGTCTGGGCCTTGGCTGACAACTTCCTGGTTGTTGACGGCATTAATTCAGTATCATCACCCACAGAAGAATTTATATGTACACTTTCTTCTGGAAATGAATTGCACACCTGTAAAGGAGTAATGAGGGGCAAGCACAAGGCCTCCAAAGCCCTCTTAGCATGGTCAGGTGGAAATTCAGTAATGACCTTGCTGCAGAAGAGAGTTCAGTAGATGTTCAGATCATCAACAGCATGGTACTAGATTGATCACGCAACGTCAGAAGATACAGAAGATATAGTTTACCTTAAGGCTTCAACTAGATGCAACGAATCCTCAGCTGAACCATCCATGACAGATGAACTATAAGTATTAAAAATACATTACCTGTACTCTGAAGTACTTGAGGATGTTAAGGTAGTTTTAGAAGCCTACATAACCTGTTCACATAAAAAAAAATAAAAAAAAACCCCCCAAAAAAGTGAGTATTATTAGATCATACCTTGGGAATTACTTCATTCTCAACTACTATATATCTTCTTTGAAAAGGATTACTCCTTCAAAGAAGATATATTAATCCTTGAATATTTCAGACAATGCTTTTCAAGCCTGAACATTACTATTAAGATTAGAAGTTCCAATATCTACCATTAAGATTAGACATCTGCATTGCCAGAATGCCAGGTCAGTTCTAAGTTCTGACTACTGATCAACTCCTTGCAGGTATGACCCTTTAAATAGAATATTTAAAACGCCTAGCCGCTAGGCTGTACCCTTAAAATAGAATATTTAAAACGTATAGCCGCACGGCTATACCGAATGAATAGAATATTTTTAACGTTTCGCCGCCGGGCTATACTCCGTAAATAGAATATTTTACGGTATAGCCCGGTGGCTATACTCTTCAATTTTTTTTACAGTATAGCCGAACGGCTAGACTGTATAAATAGAATATTTTAACCATATAGCCGATCGGCTATGCTCTTTGAATAAAATTTTTTTACAGTATAGCCGGCCGGCTGTACCCTATAAATAGAATATTTTAATAGTAAAGCCGGTCGGCTATACTCTAGGAATAGAATATTTTAACAGTATCGCCGCCCGGCTATACGCTTTGAATATAAATTTTTAAAGTACATCTGGCGGCGATGCTTTATAATAGAATATTTTAAAATTATAGCTGCGCGGCGATGCTTTAAGTACAATATTTCAATGGTATAGCCGCGCGGCTATACTGTTAAATTAGAAAGCAGGCATGCCTCACCCATCTTTTTGTGGTTGTGACAGATTAGTGCAATCGAAGAATGTCCAAATGGAATGTAATGTGGTATTTCATTGCTTCTTGTTCTTCCATTAAGTTGAAGTTCAGTTGTAGGAAAATTATTAACCATTTTCCCATAAACAAATCTATATTCTATAAATAGAATATTTAAAAGTATAGCCACAGGTCGATACCTTATTATGATAAATGAGGAAATTAGTTCTCAAATCTTTTGATAGCCATTTAATTTATGTGACAAAAGGTATCATGGTATATCCATGTATGAAAGAATCATTTCTTGGGAAAACCAGTAAATAGAAGATTGATACAAACAGCAACAAAAAGGAATATATATATATATATATATATGTGGTTCTCTTTACATGAATCCCAGGTTAACAAGCTAAACTATTAATAATCATGAGAACAATAATGGCAACAAGTCTGTGGTAGTACGTAAATTACATTCAGAATACAACATAAGTAAAAACACTTACTAGGGAAACAAGTGACTCAAGTGTTCAGCCAATTTATAACCGGATATGGCGCAAACAAGAAAATGCATATGCGTTGTGGAGGTACAGTGCATCAAGGATCAAGCACAAAAGGGTCTTGATTGAATGATGAATTTCAAACTCTCTCACAGATAGATATACAGTAAACATAAATAATGTGGACACAAAACAAAAACAAATAATGTGTGGAAAGGTTGTGCTTCAGCCGGCCAGATTTCAATTAGGCTCAAACGTAGGTTTATCTTACAAAAGGACATGAACAACTGTGACTTCCAAGATCGATTGCATTTATATACATGCTAAAGAACATGAACAAGTTGATATGTTGAATTGGAATGCAATGCTCAGCAAGCTTTCCTTTGTTTGAAGAAGTAAATCATAATTTAGATGAACGGCTAGATAGAGCATGGCTAACGAGCTCCCTCCACAAGATCTTTCCTGCCGGAGATTTGGGAATCGAGTTGATAAACTATACATTGTCCAATCTTCTTGTAGGGTGCAACCTGCAATAAGAAACCAACTTCAATGTGATGGCCCGTAACATACAACTTCAAGAGAACAGGAACTTTGGAAGTGTGGATGTTAATTACGAAAATAATCAATTGGATTTTTTTACAAGTATTCAGGAGCATACTTGTTTTGCAACAAAACCCGTAACTGCAGCCTCTTTGATATTGCTTCTAGGCTTTCTAACTACATAGGCCATTGGAATCTGCCCTGCTTCTTCATCAGGATACCTGCTTCAGAAACGCCCAGAAATCAGAACTAGTATACCTTGAGGAGGTAAACAGATAAATGAAATATACTGCAAATTCTTTCAGAAACTATGATTTTCTACCATGTAACCATGCACTAACTATGCAAGAAAGTGGAGGCAAAAGACCAGATTTCTCATAAAGGCAAACTTATCGGCAAAATATCCGTCAAAATTTTCTTCAATGATTTCATAAGTTCTTGAATTTCTTTTGTTTTTTGTTTTTCTATGGATCAGTGTCTTTTCCCAGCTAAATACTTCGAAAAATTTTCAAAAGTGACAAATAAGAGATTAAAGTCGTCAATTGATAGATTGATGCCATAGAGCATGGAAAGAAACTAGCTTTTCACAAGCAAAGAATGTCGTAGTACTAGATACATACGGAATCACAGCGGCATCGGCAATGTCGGGATGGGATTGAAGTATAGGTTCCAAATCAGCTGGGGGTACCTGCAATTTGTTCCAGACATAGGGAGACCAAACAACACATTACTCAAATGGACTGATCAAATACTTATACAACCATCTTTGTTATAAGTTTAACTCTCAAAGGATCTCTCTTGCAATCACCTGATAGGCCTTGTGCTTGATCAATTCCTTTAACCTGTTACAATGTAGAGGAACCCCTCATCATCAAAGAAACAAAGATCACCCGTCTTCAACTACCCGTCTGAGTCCAAGGTCTCAGCAGTTGCCTTGTCATATCCTACATAACCTGTAAGTCAAATGGCTTTACAAAGATCAGTTAGATTAGCTAATGGTGTCCTGACTCATGTCTAGAACTTGCTCCTATATTAACCGACTTGTAAGAAAAGTCGCTGAAAACTTATAAATTATCTTAAGATAAACTATTTCTGCAATGCAGGACACTTGTGACATGACAAAGTCTCATTACCTTTCATGACTGTTGGACCTCGCAGCCACAGTTCGCCCCTCTGGCCAGGAGGTAAGGCCTCTCCAGTTTCAGGGTCTACCCTACCCACGTTGTTAAAATAAACACATCTGCCGAGAGTAAGAATCTACCCTACCATGCGGGGCATTCTAGTTAGATGAGGATCATGATATATGGGATGCTAAATCTAATAAAGATCAATTCAGCTCAGCTCGTCAGGACTCTTTCAATTGGAGTGCTTATTGAAAGAACTGGCTCATGTTTTGGCCTCTCATCCTCCTTATGAAGTTCCAATATCTACCATTAAGGTTAGACATCTGCATTGCCAGAATGCCAGGTCAGTTGTAAGTTCTGAATGTTGATCAACTCCTTGCAGGTTCTGGAAATTTTAAAATCTTGGTGTCTTTTACAGGTATGATTGAATTTTAAATTATGGTTCTGTTTTCTGTAAGGTTCTTTAGAACATTTGAAGGGAGTGCTTAGTGGTGATTACTTTTGTTCCTCATAGCTTTTGATTTGTTGATAATTAAGGGTTGTAATAGTTTATTTCTTTTATGTCAGGTCCCAGGGTTCTGAGATCTTCTACAGTTTGAACGCAACCATTGTTGGCTTGGCAGTTAGCTCTGAAGTATCGATAGATTTACCTTGGTGTGTTGGTCTTGGTAGGTTACTCTGTTTTGCCACAATATTTTTGGTTATATTTCATCTTCTCTGTATAGCTCTGCTCATAATTTTATATTTTCTGACTCCAATATGTAAGGAACTGGGGTTTTAATTATGATATAATATTTCAAACGTATGGCTGCGCAGCAATACCCTTTAAATAGAATATTTTAACAGTATAGCCGATCGGCTATACGCTATAAATAGAATAATATGTACAGTTTTTGTTAATTTAAGTTTCAGCTTCTGTTTTCAACTAAAATTGATTTTTACATCAACTCAACTAGCCAATACATACAATTACATCAACTCAACTATCTGCATCAAATTTTTATACCCCAACAGTAGAATTACTCAGGTAGAAACATAAAGCTCACAAGCATAAAATGATAAGGAAAGAAATTAAATAAGGGAGCTATGGGTATATATTGCCAAACTCACATTGATCTTCTGTATATATTCATCACGGAACTGAAGTTTATGACCATGATACCTATCCACCAACAAGAACCTCCATATGCCATACTTTCTAAGGTTGTAAGAAATACGAACAAGAGAAATGGCAGCAGCAAGAGAATATTTAAAGGGTATAGCCGCACGGCTGTACTCTAGAAATAGAATATTTTAAACATATAGCCGAACGCTATACTCTATAAATGGAATATTTTAACAGTATAGCAATTCGGCTATACCCTAGTAAAATATTTATAGCCTATAGCCGAGCGACTATACGTTTTAAATATTCGTATATATTTGAAGGGTATAGCCGGTCGGCTATACTCTTTAAATAGAATATTTTAAAACTTGTAGGCTTCTATTTCTCTCAGCTTCAATGGAAGATTCAGTGACAAACGAAATATACGAATTCATGGAAGAGTAAGAGTTACTATAGTCAATACTCGTTTACGCACGATCAAGTAGGCTGTAGTTCTAGAATGACTGACCTTTTGGTCAAGTTCACCTGAAGACTTTGCCGAAAATTGAATGTCATGGAGGCGATATTGTGCCAGTGGGTGTGAAGCAACTTCCAATAACGCATGTACAATCAACATTGAGTCATCTGAACCTGAATACCAACTAAAAACAAATATATCAGAAACAGTTCAAGCGATTAAGTTCAAAATATTGTAGAAGTTTCTCGAACTGTATAAGCATTCAACAGCAATGTTGAACTTAATCTCTTGAACTGTTTCTAATTTATATATACGAATATTTAAATAGTATAGCCGAGTGACTATACTCTGTAATGCATACAAATTGTTTAAGAATTATTTTTATATTCCAATTACGTATTTCTTCCGTTTTTGTTTTTTCATTTCTCTTGTCTGCAAAATGTGTAGTGAAAATTTAAAAATTCAAAGGTGTTATGTTTTGAATCTGTTGCTAATTGAGTTTTTCCTTTTCTTTTTTTGTCAAAAATAGATTTGACAATCCCACATCTAAAGACACCGGAAAAGTATGAATTATATGTTTGCTTTAAAAAAAATGGATTTTATGGACAAAAGAGTTCCTCAGCCCAATAAGGTATTGAGTTGTGAATTTGCTGAAGCTTCAGGACCCAGCTTGATTGCTTGATCCTCCTATCAATGGGCTTTACCTTCCTTTTGTGCATTGGGCTACGATATAACTTGTAGGTGGCTCCATCCATATCACACCGAGTAAAATTCTATAGGCGCTCACTATAGGATATGACTCATCAAATTGAATATGAGTGATAATAAGGGGTTCTGAAAACTGAAAATATATTTGGCAAAACATTTTGATTTCAGTTTTCATAAAAGTGAAATCTAGTTATCAACATCACCCTTATTTTTCAAAACAACTTGAAAGTGTTTTTAGTTTTCAATTTTATTTTTGTTCGTTCTTTTTTCATTCACTAATTTTACATCTCCGCACATGAAATGCACTCCAGTTACCAAAACACGATATTTGGGACCTCCCGACTCGGATATGGCGGCTTGATTCTTGCGTTCAGCCACAGACCCAGTCCAAGCTACAGGGCCTCCAAATCCAAAATTCACCCAATATAATTCTAAAAAATTCATTGAAAAATACAACGAACTCTTTGTAACATGCACTTTTAGTCTATAATCTCAAATTCACAATTTAATCACAACAAATTCCATTTAGTTCCACATAAAACTAAAAAATGAAATAAGTTACCAAACAACTTTTGTTCAATTTTCACTTTTCACTTTTTTCGAAAACTGAAACTAGTTACCATACAAGTTTTTGAGTTTCATTTATATAAAAAAAAAAAAAAAAAAAAAAAAATGGTTATCAAACGGGGTAAATTAATCTAATTTACAAGTATATTGATATTCAAACTTGGGTGTTAGAAGACGAGCTTACCACCTTACCCAACTAACTTAATCCACATATGATGGTAACTGAGGTTCATTAGTACAAGATAAGCGTTTTTATCTCCTAGATAGAAAAAAATTTAAATTAGCACATGCTGTCAACTTGTGTTGAATTAAAATGGATGTCAATTTTGCATGGTTAAATACTCATAGGCCACATTTAGTGACTAGTATTGGATTGGGAAAGTCACTACATTTAAGGTATATTGAAAGAGGAAATGAAGGTATGGGTGAATGACTTACCATGCTAGGGGGATTCAGAGGGATTAGTTATAATGTGTTGTTATCTTATCATTTTGTGGGGATTAGATGAGATAATTTTCTTCATGAGTAATTCATCTTCTACCTTCAACTTGGTAAAATAAAATAAAAATAAAAAAATCATTTCTTCCTTAAACATGCTTTAAATATAGGAAGTATGCAATCCAATCCAATACTAATCACCAAACATGACCATACGGTGCATTTGGATAGAGCAATTTTGCATTATGACATAAATGTGTCACTTGCCGATATTCAATTCCTTGCTGATAAACTCAAATGAGTTTGTGCCCTCTCCGCAAAACCATTGACCATTTTGCGTTTCGGTTCATACTTCTAATCGTCTGGTCGCATTGGGCATAATTAGTTGCGATTCTGTGGAGCATGAGGTGAGCAAAAAGCAAAGCTTGGGTTTCTGGTGATAATGTTCTTTTATTGGTCTCAGTCATACTCATATTCCTAGTATGTCTCTTTCCACTAATGCACGTGGTTGGGTCTAGACAAGTTATATATCCATAATCATGCCTCTTAATTTTTGTGGATTATTCGAACTTAACGTGATTCTTAAGTTCGAAATTATTAAATTTTTCCTTTAAAAAACATTTGACTGCCCTGAAGTGGAGGGATGAAGCCCAAACTCGACTTTTAGTGCAAGGAAGAAGAAAAACTTACCTACCATACGTGTATACAAACGCACTTTTTACATGCTTCTCATCATGTAAACCCGTTTCACGTGTTGGACCATGCCTAAAATGGTAGAATTAGGTTGAATGATGCAACTATTCTTAAAATGTAACTAATTAAATGTATCTAAAATCAAGTTACGTATTATATCTAAGTTATATTTGCCATGTGAATATAGTTAAACAAGTTTCATAAGGTTTTTAATGTGACGTTTGATGTGAGAAAGATAAACAAGTAATCCATTGGAGCTCTCCAAGTCCAAGGCAAAAGCTGCATAACTAAACCTGCAGAGATCTATCATCTGATGCATTTCCCATGTGAGAACTCATGGAGTCAAAATCAACGTAGGAAGAAAGAAAGGGCTACTTTTGTTCCTTACTGCAGTGAGCATGTGTTCGCTTTAAACGTGGCTTGCCCTGATTTGGTACTGAGCCCAACAACCAAAAAGGTAGAAGCATGCAACTTTGTCAAAGACGTAGTTGGTATGTAACTTGTAGCTAAACCTAAGTAGTTGGAATACTTACTATATTCTAAAAGCAGAGACGGCTAAATGGCTCCATCAAAAGCAGGTCCAGTTTGAAGGCTTGCATGTGCTTTTCTGCTTTCTGCTTTTGAAGTCCTAGCGCCTAATCAAGGTCCCCTTAAATTAAAATTCAAAATCTGGTCCTGCCCAAATTTTTTTATGATTTGTAGGGAAGGGACAATTCTGCTAGGCGCTTTTTTTCACTTTGTTGGTAGTGGTAGTCCGTTTTAACTTTTGGTATGTAATCTTCTTGGTGGATGTGCACTCTCTCTCTCTCCCTCGCATGGTCAAAAAATCTGGGAGACTGTTTGTTTGTCCTTATAGAAATTCAAGTATTGGATTCTGTTATTCTGCTGCTTTTGTCTTTTGGGTCTAAGTTGCTTCTTATTGGGGCATTGTTCATGGCTTACCATACCAATTCAAAATAGAAAAATTGGGTCATTTCAAATTGAGGGGAAAGATTTGTAGCTCATTAAGAGCAGTTATCAATGCACTCGAGTTTTTGTGTTTGAATTTCCAATCTCGCTTGTATAAAAAAAGATTCAATACATATAGAGAAGGAGGAAAAACAGAGCCATTTCATCAATATTATAAATAGATTGATAATTTAGTATAATCAACACTTCCGCACTTGTTTTCTCTTGCACATCAAGATTCCCAAACAGAAACCCTATTGCTGCCTAAGAGTAACAGGCCGAGGTTGTAATCATCATGAAAATTGACTAAATAAAGGAAAAGAAAAAAAGGGAAAAGTACAAAACATTGGGTAAAAAAGAGAGAAGAATTGGAGGGAAGAAGAAAAAAGGCAAGAGATCCTAATTTTTGAGCCATATATATTTGACCCATTTTTGCATAGCCTTTTTCTTTCCTCACATATTTCACTTCCCTCCACCTATATATAATTTTTTTTAAGAATGTCCCTCGCAATAGGTCACAATCTAAAAATGTGATCAGCAACGAGAACCCTTTCTGCAGCTAAGTGCACCAGAAGCTGTGGTTATTGAACCCACTAGAGAAGATGGCTTTGCCCCCAAGCTTGAAGCCCTTGCATAGCTTGAGGAAGCTCCAGCTCCTGATGCTGTAAAAAATGCACCATTTATCATCAAGTCTCCTTCAGACCTCCAATTCCAATTCCTCCACTCACTTTCTGGTGCATCCTCATGTTTTGTCACCTGCACAAGTGTACACTAGATTATAAACCGAACCCATCATAAAATTTACTAATCACATTTATAATAAAGATGGACCCCACTAATGTATGTGAGACCTACTTGTATTAGAGTTGTGGTTAATAAAAATGGTACGAATAACATCACTCGAATGAATTTATAGTAATTGGGTTCAAACCTCTTTGCTAAATCTGATATCTGGTGCAGCAAATCTATTCCCTTGGCTATTGATTGTAGGGTTGGCACTGCCTCCAATGGCATACATCTCCCAATGGGTGTAGTCATTGTTCACCACATGGAAATATCCATGCCTACATCTACAAATGTGACAAAAGAAGAATTAATTTAAAGTTTAGCAACACCAAAATCATGGACCATCATCAATTAATCAAATTTTACTTTTCTAATTGCTACATTAGCTTCTTAATTACCTTGGCATTCGCTGGACCAACCCTTCTCCAAAGTGATTGAAGGCTATGGTGACTTGCATGTTCTTATCTTCGGTATAAGAATCGCTATGCCCAAGCAACATCACTTTGTCATGGTGAGTCATGTAATTGTTCGAAATTGTTATGGCAGTGGACCCATGAATTGCATCAACCAACCCATCTTTGCAATTTGACAAAGAGCAATGATCCACCCACACGTGGCTCCCACCGAAGATGGACACGCCGTCACCGTCGGATATAGTCCTCCACCCGTAGTGCTCTGGGGAGGACCGCACCATAGCATTCCCTCCCTGCTTGCAATCGTGTATGTGCAGACCATGAATGATAATGTTGGTCACAAATTGGATGGTGATGCATGGCCCACCAGCAATGTGCACGCTGGCTCCTCGACCGTCAATGGTCTTGAAAGAGTTCATGATCAGCTCTTCCTTCAGTTGGATTGTCATGTCACGCTGGAAGATGATCCACAGTGGCTCGTCCTGAATAACGGCATGTCGTAGAGTCCCTGGCTTTGGGTTTACAGGGTCGCTATCCCCTGAATCCGTGACCACGTAAATCTTGCCATCTCTTCCACCAACGGCATTTTTCCCAAACCCAATTGCGCAATCTGCCAGCCTCTGCCTGTTCTGCTCCCAATTTGGGTCACATCGCCAGCAATCATCAATGGGGTTTCCAGTCCCACATGACAAGTAGCCCAAGTTCCTCCTAGAAACAGAGTCATTGATACTCCTGCAGCCCGAAAAAGGAAAAAATGTCACATTTTCAACAATAGTGTAATGTACGAGGAGAGGAATTGAACTCGGATGCAAAATGACGGGCACAATGCCGTGACAAAGGAGATGTTATAAATATAAATGTGCAAGTTAGTTCTTGAGCTACCATAATAATTATTGGTGGAGCCTTACCTTTGTACGTCTTGTACAACCAATTCAGGGTTTTGCTGCAATGGTCTGGAGGCAATGAGGGTTGGGGCGAGGAGAGAGAAGAGGAGGAAGCTGAGGAGAGAGAGAGGTGAGGGGCCTGAGGAGGGCCTCGTCATTTTGGCCTTGTGTGTGTTTTAGGTGTGCAAGGCACTAGGGTAGCAAAGCAGAGAGGAGAAAAGGAAGTGTGTTTGTGAGAGATGAATGGAAAAGAGATGAGGAGGGAGGGGGTATATAAAGAGATTTTAAAACGGGCTAATTAGCATGATTAAACTAAACATGTGGGACCCAAGGCCTTCGGTGATTTCAAGGTTTTTACGGGATTCTAATTGGGTTGTTTTTGCCGTTAAGCAAGCCTGGTGAGATAAAAAAAAAAAAAAAAAAAAAAAAAAACCAAAACAAAATGAAAACCAACCTCATCTCAATATCTTGTTTTCTACTCTCAGTGGCGAAGTGGGGGCATGTTGGTTTGCTTTCTAGCTTCACTTTTCTTTTCATTTATACTCTCGGGTAGTTAGGATTCCGTTTTTTTGTTAGTAAAACAAGATATAAAGCTCTGAAAAGAACATGCGTATTGATATGCTTGTCTCGTTAATCTCGTGACCAGTTCGTATATTTTTACAAGACATGTAAAGTATACCCTTAAACTCGACTCGTTTGTCAAACATCGAGATCGAAAATCTTTTGATACAATTTTGATAATACTAGAAGCCCCACCTGACCTGCGTGTGTTGAAAACACTTGCTTTATAATAATGATTTCCCCGATCCTTATTAATTTCTCCACTGCATAATGCATATGATGTATTTGTTGTGTATAATTGACATCAAGTTAAGCCGGTAGAGTAGGTTACTCTTTAAGACGATGCACAATTTAAGGTAAGACCCAAAAGCATTTCCTTTGAATTATTAAAGCCTGGTCGCAGTTCACGTTGCCAACGACAGTGACACGAACGAAGACAGACACCAACACAACACGGGGTGGAAAAATAAGTGGGAAAAAATGGTGGTTGGTTGCTTCCCGTTTTATTTACACATTTTTTAAGTCGGTTTTTTTGGCCCCTAAAATTGACTTGTTTGCCATTGTTACTGTTTTTTTCTATGAACCCGAAAAATTGAAGCACGAAAATAGAAAACTTCACATGCGAGTTTCCGGCAGCAGACATGAAGATGATCATAAAAAGAAGATGTTTCTACTATATTTTATTATATTGGAAAATTAAGTACACCAAGGACTCATCAGTACACTAGCCATGCGTGACAAAGTTTGATTCAGTAATGATTCATGTAGTTAGTTGGGATTTTTACTTTTGAGTAGTTACACATATCATGCAATAATTATATTATGGGCTATCTCTAATCGCGAGATTTATTTGCATTAGAAGCGTACTCTATCGAGCGAGCGCTATAAATTTGAAAACGGTTATACCCCTTTAGGCGCTTATAAATAGAAGATATGTGATTAATAATGTGATTATGATAATACACTACTACATCGAGCACAATAAATTCGAAAGCGACTACATTTTTTTTTCCTTAGGTACTCGCATGGGCTATAATTGGATAAGGCACTCAAAGTTGTGACACAACTGTGATGTATTTTCAGCGCTTCAAGAGCAAGCAATGCCAGAAATTATTGAGGAAGCTTATGAAATCTGTTATTTCAGAATTTAATTGAAGCAATTAATTAGACGTAAAATCCTCCTGACATAGGCACATGCTTTTGCTCACAAAATCAAACCGCAAAGCCCAGTAGGCCCAGCCATCTCTCCCTCCCTCTTCATTTTCTTCAATATAATAAATTTTCTAAGCCGCAAACTTCGCCGGGATTATTCCAAAACATCGGGCCCACCATGCTGACATGGAACAATGGAGACATCCTCAGATGCCACGTGTCACCAAGGGCCGTGGTGGCGGTCCATTTGCTGACTCGGGCTGCCCAATGAAAGCTACGTTCCTCACTCCTCGCAACGATTTTATTCTGAACCGACGATACGACTGTCGTCTCCACGAATCATGGCCGTGGATTGTGGATGCGAGGGCCAGTCGCGGCCGTCGAATTGTTCGATGGTGGGGTAGGATCGACTTTTTAAAAAGCAACGTGAAGGTCTTTGTTATAAGCAGTTGGCAGAGGAGAGGGTGATGAAATAGAAAAGGCAGGGCCAAGCAAAGCATGAGCAATGCCATGTTAGCTGTGGGGATTTTTTTATTTTATTTTGGTATTTTTGGATAGTGGAAGTGGAGGGTGAGTGACAATTACATATCAACCTACACATCCATTCAACACGTGGCGGCCAGGTGTGATGCCATTTGGCATGATCTCTCATCCTATAGTTTTCTTTCAGATGCACATGCTGGAGTTTGTTATTTCAACATCAATCAAAGATGATGTTCACAAAATTTTTTAGTCCAATTTTCCCAAATCGTCTGCCTAATTTAGGGGGTTTCCTTCCCACTTCTCCCGTATGAAATCTGATTTTGTGGACTAAGCTTGTTTTTCTCGAGGTGTATTGCGATTTACATTACATACAGTAGCATCCGACAATCACTCACGTGTACATTCTTAGAATTTGGCTTTGTGAGTTAAGAAGTCTAATTGTTTAAGTTAGTGGGTCCAAATTTTACAAGCTAATTGAAGAGTATTTCAAGTATGAGAAAATTAGTCAAGTTTTCTACATAGACGTTTTGGTAGGATGTGCCACCGACATTTTTTTTCGATGAAGATTCGTAATTTTGTTTTCAATTCGTCGTCTTCTTATTTATCTTGTCAAGACAAAGAACAGAAGAATCCATATGCCAAACAGAAAATCCTACAAGAAGGTGAATAGGGCATAAAGGTGAACCAACGTGGCCAGTAATCACCTAACTTAATTTAGGTGTATTAGACAAACACACCAATTATTAGCAATCTAATCTCTGATTGTAAAGACTTTAAACCAGTGGTAGACAAGCCTTTTAACCACTGGTAGACACGAGAGGAAAGAGCAAAGCAAACCCTACCATGTTCAAGTGGGGGCTATTTGGTGCTCTCATTTTAAGCCTTGATGTTAGCCTTTGATGGATCTTCACAACCTACAAAATAGATTAGATAACATGAATGCTGAAGCAGCCAGCAGTCCAGCACTTGAGATGAGAGTCATAAAGCCAATCCATATACAACTGATAAATGCAAAATAAGTGGTGTAGTGTCATGCTTGATACACAGGGATGAGGTCCCATAGGAGCCTTCGGGTACACAAGACAATTATTATGTATACGAAAGTTATACGTGGCTAAAGTCAGTCGAGAGGAACTTTCCTGTCTCGGTTTTATTATGGTCAATCACGTGAGAAGAAAGACAGAGAGGGGATAATGAAACGGGATCAGGAAGTATTTTCCAAGTCAGACAAATAGATTGCAAAAGCGAAGAAATTTCACTGACGAATTATGAGCAAAGCGGTACTTATAAATTATGAACCTAAGATTGATGATAGCAGCAGGTAATTCTTAACCAGAATTTGAGAGAGGAAGAGAGGAGGGGGAGGGAGTTTTATATCTGAACAACATATCACATAATCATATAAAGTCATGTGGCATGGTCTCAATACTATCATGTTTAGACCTAATCATATCAAAACTTGGTCTTCTTAGCTACTTAACCGAGGCATAATTGTCTCCCACTTTAATCAACAGAGCATGACTCTTGGTTAAATGTCAAAACCTTCACATGTTCAAATGATTGATTACTAGCAATGCAATCATCCACTTTTGTTATCGTTTTGGGTGCTTCTTCTTCTGCATATACCTTTTCCAATTTTATTCCTTGTCTCCCCTTCCCAAATTGGCTAAGTTTCAGCTCAAACAGTACCAATTTGAATATCAGCAAAAGCAGAAACATCTATATAAAGGTTAAACAGATGATGATCCATCGATTACATGTTGGGCCAGCAATGGGAGAAGGGCTTCTCGCAGGCCTACTAACATTAGCTATATCTCCCACAATCTTGTATCAAATAAGAAAATAAATAAATACATAATGTAGTAAATATGAATTAGTTAAAATAGAGGGTGAACAATATTATTGAAGTTAAAGTTGAACCCTATTCACAACAAAAACTAAGAACCAAATCTTTAATTTAATAAACTAAACAGCACCCGCAAACTAAGAAACCACATCTTCATTTAATCCTAATTACAATATAATTTTATTTTCCAGAACATAAACCTTTTTTGTAGAAAAAAATTATGACAGAAGTATCAGTAACCAAACTTAATTCAAATGAAACACAACAACTATACTGAGTCTAATAAAACAATCAAGCAAACACGAGTAACTAATACTCAGCTGTCAATTAGCTAACACCCAAAAATAAGGAAGGTTACTACTAAAACAAAGAACAGAAAGATGTAGCAACGAGGGAAGGATGAGTTTCCAACAAGGACCATGGTCAAGAAACATATTAGAAAGAAGAGACATCACAATAGCTAGGGAAGATCTAAAAGATTAAGGATGAATTAACTACACATCTCACACAAAAAGAACAATGACGACATCATCATCACACACCACTCTTTCAAATTGATACACTTTTCAATCGAAGCAATAAAAGGTAAAGAGGACTTTGTACTATTTCTCTTGTACAACTATAACAAGCAAATTCACCATTTCTATAGGAAGTAGAGATTCAGCTTTGCTAAGAATCAAAGGATTCCAATTCGACAACTCAATCAAGGGATCACCAATTTGAATTTTGAAAGCACCATACCTTTAGTTGTCTCATTGCGGTACCTACCATACTAAGGCACGTTACAGACGAAGGGTGGATGCCCATTGGCGAATAAAGAGAGTGCAAACTAAACAATAAATTCCACCATCTATGCTGGTGAGGACATTTGACCATCTGGTTGACTGCTTGTCCTCTCAGAGCACCGTCCAACCAATCTAACTGCCAGAATGGAATACCAGGATGTTATCTGATATGCTGGCAGATGGGCAAGTAGATGGTTGAGAATACAACTTTAAAGTCAACACAGATACACTATCAATCCCTAGAGACCTCAAAAGAAATCCTATGTGAGTCTAATATTTTACTGCACTGAACTATGGAACCACTTCAAAGCACAACCATGTCATGAAGACAAGCATTCTTTAGTCTAGCAAGCATCAGACCAGCGCAAAGCAAATAGTATCTTGATTTGTCTTTTGCGATAGTCATTAGAGCCTATATCATCCACAAAAGAAAAATGAGCATAACATACCACAGGGGACCGAATGGAACTTCTGTTAAATGTGATGTTCCATTGAACTGTATGTTGACGCAAGGTTGTCAACCCCTTGAATATTGATAAGTGCATTAACGTTTCGACTGACATAAGAGCATCAACAACCAATTCAGAAAAACCAGAAAGCACCAAAAGAACACTGAACCAAACAAGGATACAACAGCCAAACAAAATCTTGAAACTACCATGAAAGCTAGCATTGGGACAAAAGTAAAAATAGCTAATAACTGCATTAATGTCTTATATGCTACTAAGAGAAGTAAAATGAAGCTTGAGCATATAAGGTAAAATGATAAAGATTTAAACCAAATGATCCATGTGTAGCCTAGATATCTAGCTTGATGCACCAACCTGGGAATGAATCAAATCTGATAGAAATGCAGGTACTAACAGTTATGATACTTTGTAATGCTATTATTGTGACTCTATCCACACAACTGATTTGAAAAAATAACTTGCATCTCAAACAATCACTAACTGCTGTATATCTTAAAGTTCAGAAAAATGGAAAACTAAGTCAGACAAAATCTAGAAACCTGGAGGAACCTTAGGATAGTAACAGAAAGAGAAATCCTAATGGATGTGATCTATCAGCAAGATTATCATATAACCTCATGATGCCTGCACTGCAAGTAAGAAAGTACAAAAATTAGCTCTTACTGACACTCTAGGTAACACTGAAACATGAAAATTGTGGGAAAACATCCGTTTATATGGTTAGAACTGTAGCACTTATAAACCATACGCACAATCATCTGCGAAGGAAGCATGCATTCTTCAACCATACTAAGACGATGACTGCTATATAACTAAGAGAATGAATACGCTATAAACATCTATTCAAACCAAAATATATGAATCCATTTGATCAGAAAATGAGATTGTTAATCCCAAAGTGTAATGTATCTTATTGTAAACTTAACAATTCTCATATTCTATAATTTAAGCAAAACAAGCCGATAATTCCATTAAAATTTCTCAGACAATGCATAATACTTCTAAAAGTAAACCTGAGTAAAGAAATTAGAGTTCAGAATCTTCTGAGAACCCAAAAGTCTAATCCTAAACCTTCACTACCACATCAAGCTCTGGACTTTCGACGAAGACGCTTCCTGAGCTTCTTATACTTGTGTTTGTTCATCTTTTTCTTCCTCTTCTTCTTAACACTGTCTGCCCAAATCGTCCGTGCATCATCAGATTCGACCTCAACAGCCTCAAAAGCACCCAACTGCTCGAACCCAGTTGAGGAAATTGGATTCATGCAATACCCAAATGGAAAATTGGGGAAAATGGGAAAGGAGTTGGAAGTTTCAACATTGTGAAAGCTTGAAGGACCCAAATGGGGAACTGGGTTTTCTGAGCACTCGGGTTTGGGATGGCCGAGATGGCTGTGATGGGAAATGACAGAAGGTGTGGGCTTGGGAAAAAGATGGGTTTTGAGTGATGTTACTGTTCGTAGGGATTGTGTGTTTTTGTTGAGTTTTTGAAGAAAGCTGGCCATTTGGGGGCAGAGAGAGAGAGAGGTATTGAAATCGATGAAGAAGAAGTTACAGTGTTACAGAGTAACTCACAACGTGGAGTTTGCTTATGCCGAAAAGGGTTTCATTTCGAATAGGAGAATGGCGATGGGGGCTGCGAATCGCTAGAAGAAGAGAGAGGCGACGACGTCGTTTCGCTAATAGACTTGTAAATGACAGCAGTGTGAGTAAAACGACACTGTCTTCTTCAAGATAAAAAGAGCGCCAGCAACTCATACAAGAAGGAAAAAAAAGAAAAAAAGAAAAAAGGGCGCCTGAATCTCTCACTCGTCTCTCCCATGGAGGAAAATACTTTCGAACCTGTAAAACCCTAATTTCTTCTCTCAATTTTACTTCTGAATGTTTATTTATGCTTCTTACATTTTGTTTTATATATTTTTCAGGATCTTGTTGATGCCATTTTCAAGCTCGTCTGGTCCAATAGAGCTCTCGGTTCGAATTCCGCGCCATTTTTGTTCTTTTTGCTCCATTAATTTACAACCTCTTCTTCTTTCTCATATGTCTTGTCCGTTTCTATTTCGATTTCCAGAGCGTCAAATGATTGAAGGCACCGATGCTTTGGACTGCGAGGTACTTTATTGTTCTTTCTCATTTTCACAAATTGATTGCCATTAAGCCTTATGGAACTGATTTAGGGCAAGGGAGAAAATCCTAATCTTCAGCTTTACAGATCAGCTAATTTTGGGCTGCTAATTGGTGCAGGTAGGAGCTGGAACATCTAAGAAAAATCGCCCCACATCAGGTTTCTCACATTATAGCTTCTACAATTTTGATGGGATTCTTTTTTATATGTAATGGAATTTTTGCTTATTCATGTTATTTTGTTTGTTGTTTCTCCGAATTTGTTATGCAGCTAATGGGAATGCCGTAAAACTGAGTTGTGAACTTCTCCGTAACTTTGTCACAGGTTTTTACACAACCTTTTGGTTGCTTAATTGAGAAGGCTATGTGCTCATACTTGTGTGTGTTTATAGTGACATTTTAAGAAAGCAATTTGTGTTGAGGCAGAGGCTGTGCAGCGCGCTGCTACAATTGCTGAAGCAGAGGGTGTGAGTAAGATTGAAGCAACTCACTTGGAGCGGGTTCTCCCACAATTGCTTTTGGATTTTTGAGGTATTGAAAAGGATCTTTTTCATTTTTGTTTCCGTTTTGCTGCTTTTATTTTGTTTTTCTTATCCTTGCAATTTGAATCCTTGAGAATATGATTTCTTTGGAAAGTAATACACTTGCGATAAACTGGAGCCCTCATAGGCCTCTATATGTCCACGAGACATAAAAACAATGTTTGCTTTGCTCAAGAAAACTTATATTCATAATTTCGTACTGCTCTAAATGTTTTTTCTTTTGTCCATGAGACACAAAAACATGTCTTCTTTACTCGAGTGAACCCTCAGGTCAACTTTAATTTACTTGTTGAAATTGAAGTCTTGATGTTTGTTTTCAATTTTCTCTGCTACCCCGTGATTCACATGGTGAATCTGAGAAAATCTTCTTTGGTTTTCTTCATATTACGGTAAATATTTTGAATTATTAAACAGGATAGTGGACCTGATTACTGCTCTGTGCATTTAAGGTGTTGACATCACCAGTGATTTTCATAATGCTTGGATAAAATTTTCTTATGAAGGACAAATGAGATAAAGGGAAAAATATTTTCCAAAAGAATAGGTGAAAATGCACTAGGCATGAAAAGCACTTGCGCAGAGAAGTTGATTTTTTTCTTCACAAAAGGCACTTTTATTGTCTTTAGGGATAGTAATGGAATGCACTCATGTGGAACCTTCCTTTCTGTGGGCTGCACTTGCATGGAATTTTCATTTTCTCAGTGGAAATTTCATTTTGCTTTGAAGCATGAATTCTTTGGAGGCATGTCTATTGGTAATTTGACAGAATGTTTTGGTTCAGGTCTCAAAACTTGCCCGACTTGAAACAAGAGCCTGGACAATTATATTCTCGGAAGCATCCACGATAAGAATGTTTCTTAGGAACCACACCTTGTATGAGATTGTTGTTTCGCTAATACGGGCTCACTTTGCCATTTTTAAGCTAGAATACTCCCTTCTATTTCTGCTGAAAATCTTGAGAAATGGGAGTTGCGAGGTTTATGGCGTATATAAGCCGGCCATTTTGTTTTCTTTTCCTTTCTGTTAAATATGAGTAAACCGAATTCGATATGTAGATTTCCTAATGACTCGCTCTTGATTAAATGTATTCATTCTTCCTTATCTATATCCACAGGCAATAATTACGTAGATGATTATTTTAAGCCTTCCTTTAATTAGTATTAGGCTACATGATGAGATTGACTCTCATTCCACCCATATTCCACTCACTCAATTAGCTGCACTAGGTGACTGGAGACTGGATTAGTAAAGATGAGCTCTGTGAAAGATAAGTCAGGAATAAAACTTCAACCAGATTGTACAAATCTGTACAAATCTCTGTGCTGTATTTAACTGCTAAGATCGTTTAAAGTGAAACACAAAGTTTTCTTATTCATCACACTATTTCATTACATAACATACGATGCTATTTCATCATATAACATACGAAAAAGGGAAACAGAGACACAATCCATCTAGTTGGATTCCCGTTGATTTCAAACACATGCTGCTTAGTGCTTGATTTGAGACAACATACACCTAACGTCCTTGCTATTAGGCCTCTCCTTGGGGTTATCCAGAGTGCAAAAGCAAGCAATCTTGAGAACCAAGAGCATTTGCTCCTCATATCCATTCCCCAACAATTTCGAGTCAATTGCCTGCTTAGGGTCGTCTGAAGTCATCACATTCTTCAGCCACTTAACCAAACTCATCTCATTAGTGTTCTGGAAAAACTCATCAGATGGAAGCCTTCCCATCACCAGAACAGCCAACAACACTCCGAAACTGTATATATCGCACCTGTCTGTGAACTTGAGTGTTTGATGGTATTCTGGTGCAATGTAGCCAACAGTTCCCGCCACATTCGAAGTTGTGATATGTGTGTGGTATTCCGGCACTGCTTTTGCAAGCCCGAAATCTGCAATTCGAGCTTCCATATCATCGTCAAGCAGGACATTTGCTGGCTTGAGATCTCTGTGAATGATGTGAGGTTTGTGGTTCATGTGAAGGTATTCAAGCCCTGCAGCCACTCCCAGTGCAATCTTGTGCCTAGTAAGCCAATCCAACTCTCTTGTTCCCTCCGACACTTGATTCAACATGTCTTGCAAGCTTCCATTCTTCATGAACTCATAGATCAGGTAATGACAATCCGGTCGAGACACATGAGCCAACAGAGGAAGAAGATTTCGGTGCCTAATTTGACCCACAGTGTTGATTTCTGATCGGATTTGGCGCATTTTCTTGTTCATAAGCTTACTGTCTTCATCAGCAGTCAGCTCTTCAGCATCTTTAGGGGGTTGAATAATCTTCTTTATAGCAATCATTCTGCCATTGCTTCCTGGTAATTCAGCTTTATAAACCTCTCCACATCCACCTCTTCCAATAAGTTCCAGAGAAGCCAACCCATCTTCTTTTTCCAGGAAAGCCAAGTCCTCCTTCCTTTTAATCAGAGAACTGAAAATTGCTGGGCCTGAGTCTTTGCCTCCACCTCTCACCACAGCTAAGAGCAGCTTAAAAAGCAGAGAGAAGATGAACCCGGATATGCTCCCAGCCAGAGCTCCAGCGAAAAATCCGAGCAGCCACCCTCCTAGCTTCTTCTTCTTGTCCTTCTTATGCTTGTGATTTGGTGTTGGAGATGGACCTGGAGCATTAGAATAGGGTGCAAGAGCTGGACCTGAAGTATTATTGTGGCCTTTTGTGCTCGAATTCTCAGCCAAGATGTAACGTTTTGGCACATCAGATGCTGAAATCTCGACCCTTTTCATTGTAGGCACTGAGCCTTCAAGGAGTTCATTTCCAGCAAAGTTGAAGAACCGAAGATTGCGAAAGGAACGAATGGAAGCTGGGATTTTCCCGGAGAAGAAATTGTCAGCAATGGAAAGTTTTTCCAGGTTGGGAAAAAGCTTGAGGAAGCTCAAGTTCCCGGAAAACTTGTTGGACGAGAGGTCGAGGATTCGAAGGCGAACGAGCTTGGACAACTGGGCTGGAACTTCCCCGGAGAACTGGTTGTTTCCGAGGTTGAGAATCTCAAGTTTCCGGCAGTCAGCGATTTGAGACGGGATTTGGTCAACGAGGCTGTTGTCTGCAAGAGAGATCTCTTTGAGCTCGGAGAGCCGCCCAATTGCCGGAGGCAGAAACCCGTGAAGCCGCTGGGATTGAAAGACCAGCCTGGTGATTTTGAGGACGTAAGTGTTGTTGTTTGAGAGCCTTCGCTCACAGAAAACACCAGGGGTGTTGCATGGTGTTGTTTGAGGTTGACTTATTTGGAAGCCCAAGTTTTTTCGGATGATGGAGAGGGCTTGGAGATCTGAAGGGTCGAGATTGAGCCTTGCATGGATGAGGAGGAGGAGGGAAAGGAAGGTGAGGACGCAGAGGTGGGCTTTGCCTGAGAAGGCTTCCATTTTTTGGCCGGAAAAGCTGTGTTTGAAGTTTGAACTAATGCTAGTTCATACTCGTGTTGGTTGGCTTGGTTGTTTGTTTTTTTGGTTCTTTATAGCCGGAGGCTGTGGAATTATGAATGGTATGTGGAGCCCATTCACAGTAAATCCAAGTCTCAAATCAGACAAACCTACTCTAGTTTTGTAATATAATTAAATTAATCATCACATTTCTAACCCTATTTAAATTAAATTAAACTAGTTTAATAACGAGTCTTTGAAAAAATTGACATAAGAGTGTCCCTTCGGAGACATATGATAAAATTAAATACAAATTTATAAATAAACCCAATACTAGACATGTATTTATAAAAAAACTCAAGCACTATTTAAACATAGAAACACACTCAAAATCAACAATTGTATATTTTTTAGGTGTGTTTATAAATGGGTTTTGAGTGTGTGTAATGATGGATTTTTGGTGTGTTTATAAAGTATTTTGGGTGTTGGGTTTTTTTATAATTTCAGCCCCCATTTTGGGTGTTTTACTGAAAACCAACTCATAAAATAAGAGTAAAAGTGATAACCAACCCAAACCGAGTTACCATTAATCTGCTTTTCTTGATCTCTTATTGTAAATTCCATCATTTACATTACATGGTATCTTGTGTATGCATGATCTTTAGTTGTTGTTTGTAAAAATCTAAATCCCTAAGGTGTTTTTTCTTCCAAAATAATTAAAATAAAATTATCATTGTTCCATGTGAATTAGTACTAACTATTAGTTCTTCTTCCGGTTACATGGAATGCCATAGTCAAACAGAGAGGAGAATATGGCCTTGAAAGTAGGGTTAAGTGCTGACCTCCCTTGGAGTTAATGGCCTCACAATACTAACTTCATAAATTGATTGAAGAGGTAAATATGACTCAACTCATAAATTAGGACATGTAGGAGGGTTAACTAGTATTGTTTTGTTCGATCCAAGCAATATAAGGAGATGATGAATCGAATATAGAACTGCAAGTGTATGGATGAACACTTTTAGTCTAGCTATCTAGACCCTATTCATCTTCCGCATGAAGAAACGTTTAACTCATAATTAAAAAAAACAAGATTCACAATTGTATTGGTCCTGGAGCCCCATTATACACGCTAACAAGTGAATGCCAAATGGATGCATAGTCTGCAAACTCAATTCTAATTCTTATTCCCCCTTCATCGGGCTAAACTAATTAGCCTGACTTGGAAACTTCCCATAGTCTTTAGTCTTCGGGTCATCGCCTCTCAAATCACCATCGGTCAAGTCAACGGAAAAAGCAAGGCAAGTCTTTGGGAAATATCTGGCCGTTGGATCAAATATTTTAAATACATATTTGATATTGACCCGAAAAGGATTGAGATTAAAGATTCCCACCAGCTTCATTGGTGGGCCAGAGACTGCTCACAAAAGTCACCACTAGCCCAGTCGCCAAGCCTCTCCCATTATTTCTGTATTTGTCATCACTCCGTGTTGAATTTCAAGGAAAATGTTGCTTAACTGTTTTTCATCCTCTTATTTCAGATCTGCGGGCTCCAAGAAAACGAAGCACAAGAAGAAATTATGGTTGGTTTTTGATTATGTCTATCGATACAAATATGTTTCACCTACCAGTCTCTAGTGATGAAGTTTGGAAAAATAGTATTATGGCCCGTTCGATAACAATTTTAATTTTAGTTTTTAGTTTTCATTTTTTGTACTAGAGTATAGAGGAAAATGAGAATGATGATGAGATTGAGAGAGATGATGAGAGGGAAGGATGAGATGGACGAATAACAAAAGTGAAAACAAAAACTTGAAAGTAAAAACGATTTCAAATAGATTTTAGTTTTCATTTTGTTACTTCTTCCTCCCATCTCAGCTTCCCTCTCGTTCCCATCTTTACTCTCATTCGCACTTCCATTCTCTCTCTTTTTTACTCTATACTCTAGCACAAAAAATAAAAACTAAAAACTAAAAACTAAAATTGAAATAGTTATCAAACAGGCCCTAAAGCTCTTCTTATAAGCTCTTCTTATAATTTTATAGACCGAAATCTCTCTTTTCTTTTAACTATTCTGTCAATGTCACCTTAAAATTTATAGAAAATTCGGTATAAGTCCAATTCTTATGACATAATTTGGGTGCAATCCACACATTTGTTGTTAGTAATTCTAGTCCTCTGACTTTTGTGCCATGTAGGATTACTTACCTTTCTTTAATTTCTAAGGTTTATATTATATTTTCTTAATTTTTTAATTTATGTTGTGCTTCCAATTTTGCCCCTAAGATAGAAATCAGGTAACCTAAAAGGCAGCAAAATATCAAAAATCGCGTTAAACAATCCTCAGATGCCAAGAATAGAAAGAATCCCAAAAATCATATCTTTCACAATCAATTATGGTCATGTCAAGCCAATTTTTGCAGATTTCATGCTTCTTAATTGCCGAGGGTTTTGGGTTTCATTTTAGAGTTGAATTTGCCTTTCGTCTTCTTCAATTGCAGCCTATGGAATTCGCCGTCGTTTGGGGATTCTCACCTTGCTTCTCCATCAATTGCAGTGCCTGTGTTCCAGGTACACTATTAGAGGTTACCTGTAGCTTTGGAGTTATGTTGCTAAAGATGCAATTAGCAAGGTTAAAATCATGGATGACTTCTATGTACTAGCCATAGCTGTTGGACTCGGCTAACCTGTTGCTTATTCATATCAGCACGATTATTTAGATATCTATGGGTCAAGTTCCCTTTTTATACATATGACATATGTAATGAGAAGTCTGCTATTTGTATTGTAGATTAATCTTAACTAAAAGCAACTAAAAACCCAGTTGGAATAGCAGAAGTCCCCTCCTAGCTATGTCATTTGGTGATACAGTGTTGGATGCATTGTATGTTATAGGTTATTTATCAAATTCATAAAACTTTCTAAATGTAGAAGCTTTACTGAAGAGGTGATCGTGATTGCGTGAATTCATTTGCTATTTTTGGCTAGAGATATGATTTGTACTGGCCCAAATGTTTTTTGTGCACATGTCATGATTTGTACATATATATTGCATTTAATTTTTTCTCTCTCCCTCCTTCATGTTAATAACTTAAGATCACACTTGTGAGTTTTACAGTCATGTTCTTGTTTTGTCCAAGCAATTATGTAAATCTTCATTTGTGCCTTCATTATCACAGGTATATGCCAAACTTATGAGAAGATAATCCCAATCAATGTGTCAAGTACCTGTGTCGTAGGTACACGGTGGGAGGTTACCTGTAGGCTAGGTTCCATATCAAGTCGTTGTGTAAATTACTTGTGCCATAGGTACACTATCAGAGGTTACCTGTGCCCTAGGTACATTGTTAGAGGTTACCTGTAGCGTTGGAGTTATGCTACTAGAGATGCAATTAGCATGGCTAAAACGACAGGAACAAACCATAACAGAAAAGGATGAAAGTACGCCGAATGAGAGAATTTACTTAGGATACATGAACTTCAATTGACGCCACCTTTTCTGATAATCCAAAATATTTGGGTTATTCCATATGTAATCGTGAATTATTAGAAGGAACCCACAAATCTTCCCATTAAGGAACCAAAAAATCCGTGAAAATTGGAAAAGATGGAGCATGACTTTTGGGATTTCTGCAATTTGGGGAATCTGAGATATGCAATTTGGATCAACCTCCTTTACTTTTCATTTGTATATAATGGCAGTAGTTGTAAATAAATTAAAATTTGTGGCCACACTATTTGCTTAGGTAGCTGCACGACTGGGCTTTAGGACTGGAATTAATAGGTAATAATTATTGTCCTACAATCAAACTGTATTCTTGAAATTGGACCTATATCTAAGAGCCCCTAAAATTTATAATGCATTGTGTGATTGGGCGGAATATTTTGTTGAATGCTATTGCAACTTATATTGCTGTCTCTTTCGTACAACTTCCCTTAGAACACGAACCCATGTCGTATAAAGTCATAAAAAAGAGAAGTAGACCAAAATGAATCAACAAGTGAACAAATACATAAAACCTTAACAACGTGCACCCTGCACTCTCCTAATCCATAATCAAAATCTAATCAGGCTCTAAGTTATAGAAGCTGAAGGAGTAACATCTTGAATTGCAGTTGCACCGGTACGCTGCTGGTTATCAGTGTTATTGCTAGACTGTGAAGTAGAAGCTACTATTGAAATTCAGAGGACCAAACCAGCATAATTATTTATAACAGATCTTAGATTTCCATATGGTTTTTTCACAATGCATACGCATGTCAATCGTTAAAGCAGCGGTACATGACCAACTTCTCCATCTCGCGGTCACTTTGTTTGCAGATCAATCTGTCACAAGAAGGACTAATTTAGTGCAGTGATGTGGGGTGCAGATCCCATATGGTTTTTTCAAGTCAAAACAGAAGATGATAAACCCCATATCATGCTGAACAAAATATGTTTCAATCGTGACAGCAGCGGTAGATGATGAACTTCTCCATTTCACGGCCACCCTCCGAGCACTCCACTGTGTCCGGAATGTCTGGACCGAACCCTGGAATGGTCAAACGGATGCAGTGGTATGGCGTGTGGCACCGTATCTGTTCATCTTTGAGTGTAGTCACGAAGTCTGATTGAGCCGCTTGATTTTTCCAGGCTTCAAAGTCATCCAAGGTGAGGAGAGTGAGCTGTCCATTGGCTCTGGCCGTCTCATTTGAGCCTCTCCACACCATAACCCATCCTTGGTCACTTCCATCATAGCTCAGCAAAGTCATGACCTCCTTCAGTATCTCATCATTCTCTACAGTCTTGTGGTGTTTAGCCTTGGAGCACCGCATGCTATCCATTCGGGACCAAAAGAACCAATTGGATGTGTAATCAGGCCAGAACCGGCTGAGGTTCTCTGTTTTAATGACTTTGTTCACTTTCCTGATCTGCTCCCTGGTTGCTGTACTTCTTCCTACATAAAGCAGTTCCAAGGAGATAACAGCAAGTCTTGCAACAGCTTTTGCTCTCTTCGTGAACTTCCGAATCCATTCCAAATCATCACCTCCATACAAGCATATATATTTCCCTTCCTGTATCTGATAAAGCAAAAAAGTTCCGACATTATCTTTAGTTCTTCATGAATTTTGACTTATAAAATGGATAGATACATATGAAAGTCGGAAAATGTTATCTAACTTAAGTACTATCGATTGAATGAAATGTATGGTTCAGATTCACAGTCTGTCAACATATTACACCGAAGTTTCTAGCACTTACCCAGTCCAGTATGGTTGGATCAATGCCATCGGCAACGAGCTGGAGTCTCCAGCTCTCTGCATTCCACAGTGCCTGATCTTTCTCATCAGTGAAAGGGAAAGCCAGATTGCCCCATACCCACAGCATGTGGATGGCATTCAGGGAGGACACCCTTCCTTGTGGATCCAAGGACACTATAATCATCTTCTTGTCGAAATGCCAATCGTTTCTGATGAACTTGATCACCGGTGGCTCAATTATTAGAGGGTCGTGCACAGCGTACCACGGCATCTTTGACTTTAGCTCCTCAAATCTAAACCGTTTTGCTTCATCCCAAGTGGTTGCGTCCACAACGGGGAGCCAAACAATCTCACACTCAACTTCTGCCCTGTTCTGCCGTTCTTTGTAGATGTGATCAAGAATCACAATCTCTTCATTGCTAAGACTAAGATCAGATATCAAGAGTAACACTTGCCTCCACCTTAGCCTTTCAATATTAAACTTTTGGTGCCAATCGAAATGATGATACGTAATGAATCAGTTTTAAGAAAAAGGAATATGAAGAAGTCAGGGAAATGCAGAGAAGAAGATATGAATAATACCCTTGACTTGCTTGTACCAATTTCGAGTGGTCGTGTATCAGCCTTCTGTGAAATCAGTGCCCGTAAATACTTGACATTGTCCAGGTCCTGGTGGGGGCCTTGGAAAAGGCATATCAGATTCTTATAATATTCCTCATGTCGCATCTTCTCTGCATCCCATGGTGAATTTCGTTCCGCATTTTATCAAATGTAAGGTGTACTTTGAAAGGAAAAGTCAAGAGAAGAACTTGTTTTTGATGATCTTAATTGAAAAATTGTCATCAGCAAATGGTACATTCATGTATCATGCAGGTGTGTAGTTCTAAAGTTGAAAATCCAAGGGCTCACCGATATACGGATGACATTTATCAAGCAAATCAGCCAAGTTTGTTAGTTCCCATGGGATGTCGTCTTTATTTTCATAAGCGTGGCTTAGTAGTTTCCCTGGGTTATCCACGTTCCTGAAATGAGCAGGACAGAGGTGCTGTTAGTTTAGGCAGATTTTGAAATGATGAATTGGATGCATGCATCATGGTTTCCAAATTCCAAAAGGGTAGCAGCTGCTTGCTTACTCATCTCTGCTGCGTTGAGTGAGGAAGGAGACATGAAAGGACAAGATACACAGCGAGAAGAATGTCATCTGACAGAGGGGGTGTGTCTTCTGAAATATAGTTGGACTGGATCAGTTCAACGTACTCGACGAAGCACTTGGTAACTTTGATGATGGACTCGGTAATGTTGTCAATGGCCTTAAGTTGAGATTTCACTGATAGTTGCTTCAGGATGGCCACATACTTGACTGATGGGTTCTTTATGCGAAGCTGAGCCATAAGCCAGAATTCTCCATTATACGTACACAGCAAAAGCAGCTAGAGTAAGCACCACTTTTGTTTCCCATGTATGGCACTTAAGGGTCCTGAGTAACTCCATCATACTCGCATCCAAATCACCGCCACCTGAGCATGGCAACTTAGCTGCCAGAACATGGACACACTGTGCTTACTGATTTGTAGATTAATTGCATAAATGATTTACTTAATAGAACGAAGAACACACAATGTTAGATTGACCATATATAGAAGATAATAATGAGGAAGAGATGAAAATGCAGCTTTATTCGGAAATCGAAGAATTGAACATAGAAATCTGGTTAACAGTGATCACAAAGGCATTAACCCAAAACGACAGTAATAGAATACATGTATATATATTATATATAATTACAATTGAGACAGAATTCAATTCATCTCCGAATATATCTTTCGTATGGGATAACAGAATCCTAGGAGCAAGTCATATAAAATGGTCAAGTCCTGCGCTGTATCTGCATAATCTCCAATACCACCCTGCACCAGAAGTAAAGCAACTTTGTGACCAAAATAAAACTATAGTACTATAATGATTGATTATAATGCAATTCTGTGTTTTGTATATGGAACTAGGCTTAGTTAAGTATTTAATTAGCACAGCTAAAGCAAATGAGATCAGTAGAGAATAAATTAATACAATTACAAGGCCATCAGTGTCCTGATGAGTAAGAGTTTGATGAAATATTTCATCAATGAGTTGAAGAATTGGTTTGACATCGACAATGTAGAATTCGGATGGAGCGTGAATGGCCTGAATTCGCCTCACCCACAGCCCTAAGGTGGTCATAATTTTTGAACTTCCAAATGCCTAGGAGGAGCTAGAGTGGGAAACTAACTTGGTTTAGTTTTTGAGTGGTTTCCATAGTAACCCTTATATATAATTAATGACATGGAGATGAATTTAAAGCCCTGCGAACAAGTATATAACTTGCTTGCTAGCAACAAGTTCTCAAATTAAAGTTAAAAAGCCTAGATATATATGCACTTTGTAATCATTTGTCAATTATTCCATCTGCTTACTTTCTTACTGGTGTGAATCATATGATCAATATTTTAAATTCCTTCATAAGTAAACTGTAAGCCTCGAGTCCCAAACTCTGATATAAATCCTCTACTTATGTTTTCGTTCTTATATCTTTGTGATTGTGTTTAAAAATAATTTCAGTTTGAGTTTGATTAGGCATTTTGGATTTAAAGAAGTAGCATTTATCAATATTCTAAGGGACATTCTCTAATAAAGTTAAGGATTGGTTACATACTTCTAATCCCGGCCTTTGGATTGCATCTAAGAGGATACCAACACGTTTAATGAATGCAATCCAATAGCCAAGATTAGAAGTATGTAACCAATCATGAACTTCTCCCATATTCTAATGCATACAACATATGTGTATGTTATTAATTATGAGGAAACTCTCTACTTCTAGAAATTCAGAGGATCAAATTTATTGTTATTTTGACAAAACATAATAGAAGTAAATGCTCTTAACCTCTTGAGCTACAAACTCCTATATGAGTTCTAGAAATCTTAAATGTAGTACTCTTGTATATGGAAAATCAGTTGACTTTGTACTTACTTATATTATAGCCATAACAAGCAATGAAAAGCTATAGAAACAGAGCAACGAAAACATGAAGAAGACTGTCATTGCTTTTCAGAATCGAATGAATTGTACATCAGTAATCTGATTTTGTATGTAACAGAAAGCAACTTTCTTGCAGAATTGGTTCAGACAATCTTATTTCTATTTACAACTCCAACTAACTCTAAACAGCTGTTAACAGAATTACTCCTTTGCAAACTTCCTTGGAGATGCTCTTATCCTTGAGGAGGCTCAATGCTTCTTCGCTTTCTTGCGCGACGAAATGCTGTTTGTATGGTTATAACTGCAAATAATTGCTTCAACTGCAGCATTTGAGAGTCAGTCAAATTCTCGAGATCAATTCCCTTGGTAAATTGCCACCGGAAATATTTGGGGATGACATGATTCTTTAAGTCCTCAGCCGTGAGAGTAAATGCTTCAACTCTTGTTTTGGACCGAACATTTTTATCCGAGATGGGTAATTCAGTGGAGGGTGGAAATTTTGATGCCCAAGTTATAAGTTCTTCTCCGTAAAAATCACCTTTCTCAATAGACTTAGGTGTTGAGGGATTCTTTTTTACTCCAGTGCTAGTTGTGTAGGTTCGAACAATCCCTTGCGTGATCAAGAGTATCATTTCAAGGGGCTCCCCCTCTCGAATGATAAAGCTGTCCTTAGCATAGATCATTGGCTTAAAATACTCAAAGATTTCTTTCAACTCATCCCGCCCTTGGATCTCTTGAAGCTTCGGAATCTATATATATATATATATATATATATATATCACGAGTTTAATTACATGTAACGAGTTATTTTATGAGTCATATGAAAAAAGAATGACAAGAGGGTATGTATAACTTACTCTCCTTAGCGTTTCCAAGCAAAGACAGCACTTGACATAGCTTAAATATTCCGGGGGAAGAGCATAGAGTATCTCCACATGACCATTTTTGTTTTGTTCAAATAGTCGCTGTACATTTTCCATGATCCTTGCTTTCATGGTCTTAGGCAAGCCATTTTCAGATAACCACAATTCTACCTCAAGACCTTTCAATTTCATCTTCCGTCTAAGCTTTTCTGATGTTGTGGTTGACAACTGCATATATGTCTGCTCCACACAATAAAGTTTTTTCATCAAATTTTGATCATTTGAAGGAAATTAAACCAAAAACTGAGATCCCAGGAAATCTATATATACATGTATAGATACTACTGAAAACCAAAAAAAATAAAAATAAAAATAAAAATTTAAGGCTAACTTAAGCCTAATTAAGGAAACAAATTTATATATTCAGAATGTACTAACCTGTAAATTTCCAATGAGATATAAAAATAGTAGGAGACCAATTATAGAAATAAAAACTGCAAATAGGTTTTCCCATGCGTAGGTGCTAGTCTCAAGGTTTTGCCCAAAAGAACTGCAGTAATGAAATGATGAAACTTTTCAGAATAAGGTAACCTATATATATGTAAAGGATATTGTATTTTAATATTATCTAAACTACAAGAAGGGGCATTCGAACTCCGGTGCAGAGAAGGGAGCACATCCGCTTTAGTAAACTTGGCTAAGCTCATATGTATGCAAAACAACAAATTTGTTCATGACATATCTCAGTAAAATTCATTTTTTCTTTAATTATTGTAATACTATTCACACGCAAGAATTAAGATTATATATATTAAACCGATAATTATGCGAACAAACCTCAGATTAAGTAGACCCCACCAAAAGCAATACAAAAACTTCTCTGCAAAATCTGTTGACTGAAACACCCCAGACTGAATGGCGTCTTTAAATATACCAAAATCGAAAAAAGTTGCATGTGATGGCTTTATAGGGCATAAATCATTTAAAACTCTGATATTTCTCGGAGAAGGGTCATCACAGCTAAAAGTTTTAGGCTCACATCCTTTTTCACTTCTGCATGCATATTGCCAACAAACTGTCTCTCGTTGAATAGCAAAAAAATACCAAAGGGCTCCGATTACCTATAAGACCAAAAAGTTAGTCAATGAATATTGGAGCTGAGAGAAAACTACATTTGAAAGATATTTAAACTAAAAATTTAACTCCATTTTACTTCAAATTTTTGAGCATTTAAAATTAATTAAGATAATATTGAAACTTACATGACTGGCAAGAATGTACAAGAAGAAATTGAAAAAACTTTTGACCCATGTGCCCGGCTTTTTAGCAGCCTTCTTACGTTCATGACACAATCGGTAGATGAGAAGAACTCGTGGCACATATTGCAACACAAGAAGAAAATTTAGAAACTTCATTGTTTTCGATGATCTTGAGCCCTTCATTTTTGAAAAAATGGAAAGTACTACCTGGAAATAAATAACGGGGACCATTAAGGCAATTGTTGAATCTAATTATTGTATGACAAATGTTTGATTAATGAGTTTGAGAGTTAAAACCTAAAATCTAAGCTCGCTCTAAAGTAATCAACCATGACAAGTAGAGAAATTGGGAAATAAATCTACTTCACATATAAAACTAAATCTTACCTGTGGGGCGGGTAGAACAGCTAAAATGTCAAGTAGGACGTAAGATTGCAAAATCCTCTTAGCTTTTGTCAGAACATTCATACTCATGGATTTACTTCTTCTCAAAGGAACTGCCTCCTCTGCTTGTGTTGCCCTAGCTTTAGGTCGAGCTAAAATTCGATGCATCAGGTCGGCAATGTAGAAGAGATCTGTTAACGATCGTAAAGCAAAGGATATTGCCTTCAACCTTTTGTCCAATTTGAGGCACTTCCTATCCTCATTAACGATAGGGATGTAAAAGAACAAAGGATCCAGTAAGACAGCCAACACACATGATACTACAAATATGGTGTTCCACCATTCTTGAAGGAATGACTTTGGTTGATCAGGATATTCGATGACAGATTTAAAAAACGGAACTAGTGCTATTCTCCAATGCTGGATAGGTCTTTGTTGGATCGAATGTTGTTCACTACTGAAAAAAGACAAAGCAAATAATGTATTGCTCCCACTAGGTAGAAGAAACATGAAAAAATCGTCATTGAGGGGTTTTCTCTTATGTAACTATATGTCACTCAATGAGAGAGATAAACACATAAATGCCATAGAATCATCTCATAAAAGTTTTTCTCGTGAAGAAAAGAGTTGCACTAGGACCACCCGTATTCAAGAGGTTCATGTTGTGAGTAGGCAATTCAGGAATCTTTTTAATTTTTTTATGAATTCTTTCTTACAAAACAAAAAAAGGGATATGGTATAGCGCAATGAACATTGTGAACGATATGGATAAAATCCTAACCTGGCAGTGGCAGGTTTCTCTTCCACAACTAAACGTGTTTCTTCTTTCCTATTAGCCATGACTTAATCACTCAAGCCTTGTTTATGATGCACCTAAGGAGCTTTTTAAAATCTCACAAAGTTCTGAATGTGGAACCCTCCCTGCAAAAATGGAGAACTGAAAGTGAGAATATTTATATATTGGACCAACCTGGTTGCTTTCATTTAAGCACTCTTAGTATGCCTTCATGAAGATGTAGCCATTTTCTTTAATGAGCCCTTAACATCTAAACAAATCAAAACACAGAACTGGTGAGTGTTATACTACTTAAATTAAAATACAAGATGTATGAACGAAGATCTGGCCAATTATAAAAGTGAAGCTTGCACAACAGTAAGTAGAGCATACATACTGCGTAAGCACGATGATGAATCTCTTTATAGGAATAAGGGTACATTGCGCCCGTGACCCCGAAGAAGTCTCTCTCCCTTCCCATTTTGGACTGAGGATGGTATACCTTTTCTTATAGGCATCTAAGCCTTACCCATAATAAGTGATGAAGATGGTATCAAATTTAAAGCCCTGTGAACAAGTACATACCTTGCTTGCTTGCAAGAAGTTCTCTAGTTAAAGTTAAAGCCAGGGATGCATTTTGTAATGATTAGTTTCTTTTTTGAACTAAGGCATATATCCCTCGTCATGTCATTTTGACAGCTGCTTACTTTTTAACCGGTGTGAAACACATGCATGATCTATTTTTTAACTTTTGTTCATGATCAAGAAAGGAATTATGACGCAACTAGGCCAGGCATAAAATCCTTGCGTAAGCAATGCTTGCTTCGGCTACACATGTGTGATGGGTGAAATAGGATCCTCTACTATAGCCAATTAGGAAGACTATCACGTTGACTGCATGTAATGTTTTTGTCTTCATTGCAGTCATTGTAATTATGAAGCTTAATATGGAAGATCAGATTGACTTGTACTTGGCAAGCAATGAAAAGCTATAGAAACAGAGGAACCGAGAGATGAAGAAGAAGACTCTTTATTTCATTGCTTTTCTGAACATAATGAATTGCACATTTTTATATGTAAGAGAAACTCATCTTTCTTACAGAATTGGGACAGCTGACATGGACCGAGTTTTCATTGGCAAGGCTGCAGGCTTCTCTGCTCTCTTGCGGCGACGAAATGCTCTTTGTGAGTTTATAACTGCCAATTCTTTCAACTGCAGCATCTGAGAGCCAGTCAAATTGTTGAGATCGATTCCCTTGGTAAATTGCCACCAGAAATATCTAAGGAGCACATGATTCTTTAAGTCCTCGGCCGTGAGAGCAAATGCTTCAACTCTTGTAATGGACCTAACATTTTTATCCGAGATGGGTAACTCAGTGGAGGGGGGAAATTTTGATGCCCAACTTATCAGTTCTTCTCCATAATAATCACCTTGCTTAATATGCTTAGGTGTTGTGGGATTCTTTTTTCCTCCGTTACTAGTTGTGTAGCTGCGAACAGTCCCTTGCGTGACCAAGAGTATCATATCAAGGTGCTCGCCCTCTCGAATAATAAAACTATCCTTAGCATAGATCACTGGCTTAAAATGCTCACAGATTCCTTTCAACTCTTCCAATCCTTCGATGTCTTTAAGCTTCGGAACCTATATATGTAACGAGTTTACACGTAACGAGTTATTCCTCCTTACAAGTCATAGTATACACCAGAAACGATTGCTCATCAAACCAAAAAGTATATAGAAAGAAAAGAGAAATCACAGGGAAGTACATATGTAACTTACTTTCCTTAGCGTAGCCAAGCAAAGACAGCGCTTGACATAGCTTAAATAGTCCGGGGGAAGAACAGAGAGGATCTCCACATGAACATTTTTGTTTTCTTCAAGTTTTCGATGTACATTTTCCATGATCCGTGTCTTCATTGTGTTAGGGAAGCCATGTTCAGATAACCACAATTCTACCTCAAGACCTTTCATTTTCATCTTCCGTCTAAGCTTTTCTGACGTTGTGGTTGACAACTGCATATATGTCTGCTCTACACAATAAATTTGTTCATCACATTTTGATCATAAAACCCCACATAAACTACTCATTTATGATCACTTGAAGGAAATTAAACCAGAGTCTGAGATCCCAGGAAACCTAAACAATGTATACATGTATAGATTATAGATACTACTGAGAAAGAAAAAAGAAAAAAGAAAAAAGAAAAATAAGGCTAATTAAAGAAACAAATTTATATATTCAGTACATATACTAACCTGTAAATTTCCAATGAGATATAAAAATAGTAGGAGACCAATTATAGAAATAAAAACTGCAAATAGGTTTTCCCATGCGTAGGTGCTAGTCTGGAGGTTTTGACCAAGAGAACTGCAGTAATGAAATGATCAAACTTTTTAGAATAAGATAACATATATATAATTTTTTATTTATTTATACAAACAATATTGTACTTTAATCTAATCTAAACTACGGGGAGGGAGGATTCGAACTCTGGTGCAAAGAGGGAGCACATCCGCTTTAGCAAACTTGGCTAAACCCATATGTATGCAAGATAACATATTTGTTCATGACATTCTTTCAGAAATCAGAACTATTTGTTAATTTTCGATGACTTTCAGTTGACTGTAAAATCTTTTTTCTCTTTAATTACTACTCAAATGCAAGAATTAAGATTATATCAAACGATGATAATTATACGTACAAACCTCAGATTTAGGAGACCCCACCAAAAGCAATACAAAAACTTCTCTGGAAAATCTGTCGACTGTAACACGCCAGACTGAATGGCATGTTTAAATATACCAAAATCGAAAAAAGTTGCGTTTGATGGCTTTATAGGACATAAATCATTTAAAACTGTGATATTTCTGGGTGAAAGGTCATCACATTCACAGCTAAAAGTATTAGGTTCACATCCTTTTTCACTTCGACAGGCATATTGCCAACAAACTGTCTCTCGTTGAATTGCAAAAAAATACCAAAGAGCTCCGATTACCTATAAGACCAAAAAAGTTAGTCAATGATTATTGGATTTGGAGTTGAGAGAAAACTACATTTGAATTGAAAGATACTTAAACAAAAAATGTAACTTCAATTTTTTTTTTTTCAACTTTTTGAGCATTTAAAATTAATTAAGATAATATTGAAACTTACATGACTGGCAAGGATGTACAAGAAGAAATTGAAAAAACTTTTGACCCATATGCCTGGCTTTTTAGCAGCCTTCTTACGTTCATGACACAATCGGTAGATGGGAAGAACTCGTGGCACATATTGCAACACAACAAGAAAATTTAGAAACTTCATTGTTTTCAATGATCTTGAGCCCCTCATTTTTGAAAAGATGGAAAGTACTACCTGGAAATAAATAAGGGGGACCATTAAGGCAATTGTTAAATCTAATTATTGTATGACAAATGTTTGATTAATGAGTATGAGAGTTAAAACCTAAAATCTAAGCTCATACGGCTCTAAAGTAATCAACCATGACAAATAGAGAAATTGGGAAATAAATCTACCTCACATATAAAACTTAATCTCACCTGTGGGACAGGTAGAACAGCTAAAATGTCAAGTAGGATGTAAGATTGCAAAATCCTCTTAGCTTTTGCCAGAACATTCATACTCATGGATTTACTTCTTCTCAAAGGAACTGCCTCCTCTGCTTTTGTTGTCCTAGCTTTAGGTCTAGCTAAAATTCGATGCATCAAGTCGGCAATGTAGAAGAGATCTGTTAACGATCGTAAAGCAAAGGATATTGCCTTCAACCTTTTGTCCAATTTGAGGCACTTGCTATCCTCCTTAATGATAGGGATGTAAAAGAACAAAGGATCGAGTAAGACAGCCAACACACATGATACTACAAATATGGTGTTCCACCATTCTTGAAGGAATGACTTTGGTTGATCAGGAGTTTTATCAGTATTGGTACTACTATGTCCTTCATCTTCGATGGCAGATTTCGAAAACGGAAGTGCTTTTCTCCAATGCTGGATGGTTCTTTGTTGGATCGAATGTTGTTCACCCCTGAAAAAAGACAGCAAATAATGTATTGCTCCCACTAGGTAGAAGAAACATGAAAAAATCGTCATTGAGGCTTTTCTCTTATGTAACTATATGTTGCTCAATGAGAGAGAGAGATACATAAATGTCATGGAATCGTCCCATAAAAGTTTTTCTCGTGATGGTTTAAAGTTAAATAAACTAACCTGGCAGTGGCAGGTTTCTCGTCCACAACTAAACGTGTTTCTTCTCTCCCATTCGCCATAACTCAACCGCTCAAGCTTGTTTATGATGCAACTAAGGAGCTTTTCAAAATCCCACAAAGTTGTGAATGTTGAACCCTCCCTGCAAAAATGGACAACTGAAAGTTATAATATTTATATTGGAACCTGGCAGCTTTCATTTAAGCACTCTTAATTACTACAACGGTAAGTAGAGCCTACTACGTAAGCACGATGACGAATTTCTTTATAGGAACATAGGTGCATTAATGCACCCATGACATGGAGATGACATCAAATTTAAAGCCCTGTGTACGAAAAAGTTCATATACTTTGCTTTCTTGCAAGTTGAAGCCAGGTATTCAATGTGTAATTATTATTTCTTTTTTAAACTAGGGCATATATCCCTCATCATGTAACTTTGACAGTAATTATTCCAGCTGCTTACTTTTTTTACCAGTGTGAAACACATGATCAACTGTTTAAATTCCCTCTCATAACACTACAAGAAAAAGGGTCAGTAATAGCATCAACCACAAAAATCCAGCCATCCCTGAACACTGCCAAACAAAAACTGCACAAAATTCAATCAGACATAAAATTTTCGGAAGAAAGTTGATACCTTCAGGCCTGAGGAACATAGCTGCCCAAAGGAAACTCCGTCACACGCTCAGTCTCCATGATCGTAGAGGGCCATACTTCGAGAGAGAGCATGAAGGGAGGGTGCGGGAAGGCGCCTAGCTGGTGAAGGTTTCCAATAATAGGTAGCTTTGGGGGTGTGGGGGGGAAGGTGGTAGTTTGGGTGCTTTCCCACTTGATCTTGCAAGTGACAGCAAAATGTACAGAGAAAGGAAGATAATGGGAAGCAGGAAAAGGTTGCTTTGTAGATGTTGCCATGTTTGATTTAAAAGTGATAATAGATAGAATAGCAGGTGCTCTACTTTTTGGTTACTTTTCGCCGCTGAATTATACCATAATTGTTAATTTATTCTTATACTTTTTTTCCCCGTAAATTAAGAACTTACACTATATGAAATAAATTGTAATGATGTCCTCTTGCACCCTGGTAATTAAATAATGCGGACAAAGTTTACAACATAAAAAACGTTTTGAGTAGGTCAAGCAAGGACAATAATTTATGTGTGGAATGCTTTTGGACCACCCGATACTGTGGGGGAAGCTACCCCATCCTCCATCGCCATTAAAGCCCTTGTTCTAAGTGAGGGAGCTAAGCCTTGCGAAAAATTTACTACTAACGTATAGCATTCTGAATGGCACATTAATTCATCTTACAGTACATTCACGTGGAAATACATATACTTGTTGGTTCTGAATGGCACATTAATTCATCTTAGAGTACATTTATGTGGAAATACATATTCATTGGGTCAGCATGGTCCACTAAGTGATACACTTAAATAGATCACGATGACTCAACAAACATGATATTTCTATATTGAATACATGTAATAATACGCACATGTAATAATTTTGTGAACTTTTTGTTAACAATAAGAATATTGTGAACTTTTTGTAAATAATAAGAATATTGTTCAACTTATTAGGTAAAATAATTCGGATCGTGTTATTGGATTCGATATTCGATAATCCAACAAATCGAATATGGATCTAGTTGTGAATGATTTGTCAGGTTATCGGATCAGATTGGGTTGATATTTTTTCTATCCGATCGGATTAGATATATGGTGATATGATCCATCTCCGAGCTATTTACAACTCTAAACTCATCACATATATTACTCCAAAGACGGTAATAACTCAATGAATGTGATATTTTTTAAGAGTAATTCTACACTTACCATATTTTTATCCCACATTTCTATACCACATGATGTGGTATATCCATATTATATGTCACATTAATTAAATCAATGAATTGTATTTTAATTAAGGCAATTAGAAAAACAAATACTGGAATAAATCATAAAAAAAAGAAAATATCAAATAATTTTAATTGATGTGGTTGTCCACCTCAGCTGCCACATAAGATGGTATAAAGATGTAGTATACAAATGTGGTAAGAGTAGCATTATTCATTTTTTATATATCTATTTATACTGAATATGTAAATATATCGTAACCCTTTGTCATGATAAATGAATGTAAAGTAAGGTTTTGAAAACTAAAAACAATTCAAGTTGTTTCAAAAAAATAAGGTTGATTTTGAAAACTAAATTTTACTTTTTTTGAAATTAAAAACAAAAACTGTTACCAAATATGGTTTTAATTTTCATTTAAAAAAATAAAATGAAAACTTAAAAATGAAAATAAAATGGTTTTCAAACAACTTTTTGATTTGCTGACATTATTAATGAGCTCCTTCATAATTCTTGGCCCATATTTTTCTTCATGATTCTTCTAGATATGTTTACATTCCAAATCATGAGCATTATTTTTCAACAGGTAGGACAATAATTTGTGTGTCCCAATTTGGACCGTCCATATTTTGGAGACAAACTTCCTTGACACGAGTCTGTCAGGTCAACAAACCACATTAGCATCCCAGTCCAATCAAAATAATGCCACCTATCAAGCATTCTGACTTCTCCTTTCCTCTTCCTTCTCCCTTTCTGCTACCTCCCTTTTTTTTTGGTCGGAATTCTGCTACCTCCCTTGAAATGCTCATTTTATCTTTTTTTTTCGTTCTGATCTGACTTCAATCCTCCCTACCCCATAAAAAATAGAAATTGGAAAAACTTTTGACTCATGTGCCTAACTTACCATTGGGCTCAACATGAGTTTACTACATATTCAAATAATGCATTGATATTGTTACCACCTTAACCACCTAAGAGAGAGAAGGCCTAATGAACTTCTAAGTGTGGGATTCTATCACAAAAGGTCTCTGTGCAATTAGAAATGGACCACCTATATTTGAAATGTAGATTATTTGTTGTATTCTCCAATGCAGGACTTATACATCATGACTTGTATTGAGTCACCTACGCCAACACATGGCACATATTGCAACACAACAAGAAAATTTAGAAACTTCATTGTTGTTGGAGGTTTTTCAAAATAAAAGCAAGCAACCGGTCGTGAATAGACGATTATTAAGCCAAAAATAACAAAGATTATTAAGCCAATTGTTAAATCTGATTTTTGTATGAAAAATATTGATTAATATACCTGAAAGCTATTTTCTTTTTATCTTTTTCCATTCATCCATAATCGTTGCTCGCTAAGATATTTTAGATTTAACTCTTACGGTCTAGGCGGTAATATGAGAGTTAAAACATAAAATAATGAACCATGATAAATAGAGAAATTGGGAAGTCAATTGCAAAGTCCTCTTAGTTAGATATTGCCAAAACATCGATCAAAGTCAATAAGTCAATCAAACTGCTAGACTTTGATCTAAGCATTATGGCATCATGAACAAATCTTTATAGCGAGATTTCGCTCTGCTGTCCTAAACATAAACTTAATGAGCCCTTAACATAAATAAATCAAAACACAAAACTCGTGAGTATTTTTTTTTAGTAGAAATAATTTAAGTTACAAGATGTATAAAGGAAGATCTGGTCAGCTATATATAAAAGTCAAAGCTCGCAGAATCGTAATTAAGTAGTCTATTGCGTAAGCACGATGACGTGGTATGACTATTGTTGGTGCTGATGGCGAATTTCATTCTAGGCATTCTAGGGACAAAGATTCATTTTATCCGTAACATGGAAGTCTTTCTCCTGTCCCATTGTTTTGGGGTTTAGGATAGTGTACCCTTTTTTATTTATTAATTTATTTATCTCTGGTTAACAAAATAACCAACACAATGTAGAAAAGTGAAGAGAGAGAGAGAGAGAGAGAGAGAGAGAGAGAGAGAGAGAGAGAGAGAGAGAGAGAGAGAGATTGTGAGAGTAATTTTAGTACTGAAAAGTCTTTCAAGTACTATTATTTTGACATTCTTATAAGCTTATATATATCAACCGAATTAGCCCCAGACTAAACAGCCCAAACTGGCGCTTAGAGTCCCTAGCCATTTCACAAGTTCACACAAACAAACTTATTCTTAATGCATACTAAAACATTTAGCTCTCTCAAGAAAGAGCACCATAATTAACGTAACATGAGATCCAATATGGATTTTTCATGCTTGACTCACCATGTCTCAATCGGTACAGCAGCGGATCATGAGAAACTTCTCCATTTCACGGCCACAATCCGGGCACTCCACTCTGTCTGGGATGTCTGGACCGAACCCTGGAATGATCAAACGGTTGCAGTGGTCCGGCGTGTGGCGCCGTTTCAGTTCATCTTTGAGTGTAGGCACGAAGCCTGATTTAGCAGCTTCATTTTTCCAGGCTTCAAAGTCATCCAAGGTGAGGAGAGTGAGCGGTCCATTGGCTCTGGCCGTCTCATTTGAGCCTCTCCACACCATAACCCATCCTCCGCCACTTCCATCATAGCTCAGCAAAGCCATGACCTCCTTCAGTATCTCATCATTCTTTACAGTCTTGTGGTGTTTAGCCTTGGAGGACCGCATGCTATCCATTCGGGACCAAAAGAACCAATTGGATGTGTAATCAGGCCAGAACCGGCTGAGGTTCTCTGTTTTAATGACTTTGTTCACTTTCCTGATCTGCTCCCTGGTTGCTGTACTTCTTCCTACATAAAGCAGTTCCAAGGAGATACCAGCAAGTCCTGCAACAACTTTTGCTCTCACCGTGAACTTCCGAATCCATTCCAAATCATCACCTCCATACAAGCATATATATTTCCCTTTCTCTATCTGATAAAGCAAAAAAGTTCCGACATTATCTTTAGTTCTTCATGAATTTTGACTTAATAAATGGATAGATACATATGAATGTCGGAAAATGTTATCTAACTTAAGTACTGTCGATTGAATGTAATGTATGGTTCAGATTCAGTCTGTCAACATATTATGCCGAAGTTTCTAGCACTTACCCAGTCCAGTATGGTTGGATCAATGCCATCGGCAACGAGCTGGAGTCTCCAGCTCTCTGCATTCCACAGTGCCTGATCTTTCTCATCAGTGAAAGGGAAAGCCAGATTGCCCCATACCCACAGCATGTGGATGGCATTCAGGGAGGACACCCTTCCTTGTGGATCCAAGGACACTATAATCATCTTCTTGTCGAAATGCCAATCGTTTCTGATGAACTTGATCACCGGTGGCTCAATTATTAGAGGGTCGTGCACAGCGTACCACGGCATCTTTGACTTTAGCTCCTCAAATCTAAACCGTTTTGCTTCATCCCAAGTGGTTGCGTCCACAACGGGGAGCCAAACAATCTCATACTCAACTTCTGCCCTGTTCTGCCGTTTTTTGTAGATGTGATCAAGACTCACAATCTCTTCATTGCTCAGACTAAGATCGGATATCAAGAGTAACACTTGCCTCCGCCTTAGCCTTTCAAGATTGAACTTTGGGTGCCAATCGAAATAATAATATGTAATGAATCAGTTTTAAGAAAAAGGAATATGAAGAAGTCAGGGAAATGCAGAGAAGAAGATATGAATAATACGTACCCTTGACTTGCTTGTACCAATTTCGAGTGGTCGTGTATCAGCCTTCTGGGAAATCAGTGCCCGTAAATACTTGACATTGTCCGGGGGCCTTGGAAAAGGCATATCAGATTCTTATAATATTCCTCATGTCGCTTTTTTTTTATGTTGGTCAACTCCTCATGTCGCTTCTTCTCTGCATCCCACGGTGAATTTCGTTCAGCATTTTATCAAATGTAAGGTGTACTTTGAAAGGAAAAGTCAAGAGAAGAACTTGTTTTTGATGATCTTAATTGAAAAATTGTCATCAGCAAATGGTACATTCATGTATCATGCAGGTGTGTATTTCTAAAGTTGAAAATCCAAGGGCTCACCGATATTTTGATGACGCTCATCAAGCAAATGAG